TATACCTTATTCCTTATATCCTCCCCCTCCACTTCCCCCATCCCCTAACCTCGTCCCCTCTCCTTCCCTTGCGGGCGAGCGGTCCCTGAAGAGGGGCCCGCAGAGTCCCGACAAGAAAAATCAAAAAAAGCCCATAGCTTCCCCCTTTTAGGACACAGAATTTTCCACCCGGCCACCCTGGCTCCCTGGGGGTCCCCCTTTGCAATCTACCCCCGCGGCCAAAAACAGAAAAACACAGATTTTCGTTTACGTGTCCTTCCGTGCTCCAAGACCCCTCACGGACTCCGAACCCTCCCTCGGGTCGCAGGGACATCTCCGTCAATCCACAAGAGCAATTAAATCTCTGCGGAAAATCTCGGGAGTGTGTGCTGACCACGCTTGGGACGATATCGCGCCATGAATGGGGCTGGGGAAGATCAGTGCCTGGCCGTAGAAATTCCCGTCCGGACACGTAATACAAAAAACAGAAGGGGGGGATCATTGTGGCCAGCGCGACGGCGAGAGCACCATTCGGACGTCAACGCGCAAGCACGACGAAGGTTTCGGCCGCACCCCCTGCAGCCGCTGCGGAGAGCCGAACTCCTCATCCTCCCCTCTGGTCCGGGCGTCGCATGTAATGCGATGGCGGGGTTCTCGACGGTATGGGCCTCTCGAGGCTGCTTACCTGCGAGGGAGAGGTGGGAGGGGAGGGAGGTTCAAACGACCCCTGCGGCCAGCGCGACGGCGATGGCGCCATTCCGACCAGCGACCCGCAACCCGCCAACGCTCGCCCACGACCCGTGCTCATCGCCGTCGTCGTCGTCGTCGTCGTCGTCGTCGTCGTCGTCGTCGTCGTCGTCGTCGTCGTCGTCGTCGTCATCGTCCACAGTTTGGCAAAGACGGGGGCGTTCTGGGACCCATGGGGCACGGCACAGCATGGCATAGGATAGGCCCCTGGAAGGATCCAAAGGGCTTAAGAGGACCTCATAACGCCCCAAGACGGCCCCGCGGCGGCCACGGAGTGCCCCCCGGGCACACCTATCGCAAAACAGCGTTTGCGATAGGTGCGCGCGGGGGCCCGTCACCCCCCCCCCGGTTGGGTTTAAAAGGCTCTTCTGGGGCCCAAGACAGCCGCCGGAGAGCCCTCAGGAGGCTCTCGCAGGGCCCCAATGGAGCTCTAGAATGCCACGGGATGCCCCCCGGGCACACCTATCGCAAAGCAGCGTTTGCGATAGGTGTGCGCGGAGGCCTGTCAGAGCCCCCCGACCAGTTTTTGAAGTTCCAGGTGGAACTCTTTGGAATTACTGGACAGGGCTCCAGCAGGACCAAAAACCTCAAGAGAGCCCAAGTGACACCCAAGACGGTCCCTCAGGAACACTGAACAGCCCAGGGACAACACAAACCCGAGGAAGCAATAATTCTTTGTTTTCATGTGACTTTTTAATATGTTTGCATTTTTGTATTTTCGAGCTTCCGTCGGCTCAAGACGGCCCCAGGCGCCTCCAACATAGGCCCACGACGGCCCGAGAAAGCCGCGCGATGTCCAAAGGTGCCTTCGATGCGGCCTCAGGACAACCCGCCCAAAGGGGCCCCAAGAGGGTCGGCGGAGAGCCTCGGGCGGGCTTCAAAAGAGCCAATATTATTCTGGGAAAGCCCGGCCCCGCTTTCCCAGAATGATTCGGGCATCCTGGGGCTCTCTTGGCATCTCTTGGGGCCTGCGAAAGCTCTCCGGGGGTATCTTGGAACTCTTTTCGGTCCCGAGAGAGCCACTAGGGGGCTCCAAAAGGGAATGCAAGAAGCTTTTCACAGGCCCCAAGAGGCCCCGAATATGGTTCCAAGAGGACCTCAAGAGGGTTCCAAGGAAAGTTCCAGGAAAGCTCCAGGAATCCCAAGCTATTCAGGGAAAGCGCCGCCGCGTTTCCCACCACTAATGCGGGCCCTATCGGGGCCCTCTAGGGCCCGAGCTCGCCGACGCGACATTGCGCCTCGTGGCCTCATCGAGGTTCTCATGATGCTCTACGGGAGCACCCGACGCGGTCTACTTGACTTCGCCGCGGTGCTGGAAATCGAAGAGCTCGAACACACATGTTGTTTTTGTCCCGCTGGCACCAAATGGAACTTGTTACGCGGGCCCCCCCTCCAAAGTCGAGAAAAAAAGCATCCGCGCCCTCGCTGGCCAGCGCACTTCGCGGCGCGAGGCGGTTCCCCATGGCGAGCGCGGACTCGCTTTCAAGTGTACTTCCGCTGGCAGAAAAATGAATGCGCCGAATGCGATGCGGAAGAAGACGAACTCCTCCGCAAAGCGCGGTCGCCTATGGGGTTCTAAAAAGGGCTGCGGACGCTGCGCGCGAGTTGCGCGAGCTGCGCGAGTTGGTGTCCCAGACGCGTGGCCGATAGCGCCACAATAGGGCTGGTGGCCGGCGGGGCGCGGCCAAGCGAGGCTCTCCGCCCCGGGGCGCTCGACGGAGCCGCGCGCCTACGACAGCTGCGCCGCCGCGAAGAGAGCGCGCATGTCGGCCAACTCGCGCCTCAGGTCGCGGACTTCGGCTTCCAGGGCCTCTACCCTGGACTGCAGGCCGCTCGCCTCGCTGCCACCGCCCGCCTCCACGCTGCCGCTGCCGGCGCCGCCGCTCGCGGCGGCGCTGGGCGTGTTCAGCTCGTCGCCGACGTCCTCCGCGGCCTCGGGGGCTGTCCACGTGAGCGCCGGCGGCGTAGCCTCTGGCGGGGCCCTGAGCGGCGCCGCCGGAGGCACCGCCGCGCCCCAGGCGCCCCACGGGAAGGGCAAGGCGCGCGGCTCGGGGGGCGGCGCCGCTGCGCCTCTGACCCGCTCGGAGAAGTGATCCGGATTGTGGACCCACGGGACGCAGAAGCCGTTCCTGATGACTCAGGACAGCAAAAACCACGATGTCCATGTAAATTGTGTTTTTTAATGCAGAGGGGGGGGCATGTATTCTCAATGCCATGCTCCCTGCGTGAGTTTTGATTGATCCGTTTTCCACGAGGCTTACTTGGCGGTTCCCACGCGAAACCCCAATCCCCTTGAGGGTGCAAGAGAGAGAGAGAGAGAGAGAGAGAGATCCCTGGCTCCTGGGATGGGTTTACATGATGCGCTCTTGTCGTTCCCTGGCCCCCCTTGAGGATGCAAGAGAGGGTTTACATGATGCGCTCTTGTCGTTCCCTAGCTCCTGGGATCACCGTACCACGAGTGGCGATCCCCGAGGATGTGGTCGTCGTTCACCTTGTCCTAGACGGAATCTCCAATGCTCATTGAAAGTTTCGGGGCCGCCCTACCGAAGCCAGAAGCCCCTCCTCTATTTTCCGATCCTCATCGGCTCGCCCCGCGGAGTTTTCTGGGCTCCAGGGCCGCTCCTCACAATCGGAGATCAGACTAAATGGAGTCCATCGGCTTGTCCCTTGACATTTTTTAGCAAGTTGTGCCCGCGGCGGATGCCCAACAGCCGCAACCGCGGTGTCGCGGGTCCTGCACGTACGGGCGTTTGTTGGCGTAGCACAACTTGCAGCGCCAACCGCCCTCCGGGCCCGCCTCGAGCCACGAAACCTGATCGGAGGATACTAAGCTCAGCGGATCGCAATCGTCGTTCGAAAAGAAATCGTCGCCGCGAATCAAGCCACTCGATACGCCCATTGAATTTCGCCTGAGCGCGAAGCCCCCCACCTCCCCACCCTGCTACAAGCCTCGCCAGGGATATTCAGACACAACAAGGGTATTTCACGTCCGTGATGAATTCGGGCACTTGTCAGAAAGCGCATTCTTAAATTTTGATAGAGAGGTGACTGATTTTAGGCATGCCCGCGTCCGAATCATATGGTTCTTCATTACTAGAATGGCGTTGACCCTATAAGTCTCGAAATCTTCGAAAACAATGCGTTGATTATTCCTGGCGAGGCTTGTCGATACGACCGCAAGTTCCGCCGTTAGTTGCCTGCTCTGACCAGGCCAGAAGCCCCGGAGACCCACGGAACGAGGGAGTGTCGAAACCCGCGGAGGCTTGGGGATCCGGGATCCGAAAGCATTTTCTAAAACCTTGCCCCCCTGCAATAGTTTGCAATCCGCGTCACTGGCGAATGAGTCTCCGCTTCCAGAAAGAGCGGGGTGGGCGCCGCCATGTCGCGGGGGGCGGAGCGGCGGGCGGCGGCGGGGCGCGGCGAGCTGCAACCGACTGATGCAGAGATCGCAGCGGCATCCGGAACCGACGAATGCAATGAATGACGACTGACTGCAGATGGCACCGCGGCAACCTATCACCGTTACCGAGCAAACCCTTTAGCGGACCAATAACCCGGAGAAGGCGTCGCCCGGGGCGACGCGGCGAGTCGGCCGTCGAAGGCGGCAAATCTCTTGTATATAATCGCCCTTGTCTAAGACATTCTTTGTGTGTGATGTCTCCTGTAGATGACGTTCCACGAGATGCGCGCGCCAAGATCAGGGGCCAGGAGATCAAGGAGGTGGAGGGCGGGGGATGATGCGCATACATGCCGTTCTACAACCTCGCGAGAAAAAGTACCACGCGCAGCGTGATACTTTTCAGCGTGCGCGTCTGCGTTCCCGACGGGCCAGTCTGGCAGTGCCGTCGTCGGGCAAGTCTATCATCTTGCAAACGTGCAAACCTGCTATCCGCTATCTGGCAAATCTGCCATTTGGCTAATCTGTTATTTCGCATAAGTGTTATCTGGCACAATTGTCGTGCGTATTCTGTGTTTGGGAAAAGTTGTTGCTAGATAAACCTGGATATCTGGCATACCTGTGATGTGGTAGTATGGCTTATGACGCAGCAGATGTGGCCCTATGCAATGCGGTCGTTTATCATCACTCAGTAGGTAGCCGCATGCAAGGCAAGTTCCGGACAGTGCATGCTATATACAGGGGTATCTATAAACGAGCAACACCCTGTGCAAGGCGCCCCTGCGCCCCCGCGCATTTCACGAGCGGGGAGGGCGGAGCTGGGGTCAAGGTTCGGAAACGACGGAGAAGCGAGGGCATCGGCAGACTCGGGCAACCTCTAGACTGCGCACGCAGGGCACGGCGTCGCATCGTCGGGCCAGCAGCCGCTGCCACTGCGCAGGTTGCACGTCTCGCAGAGCATACAAAATTCCCGGATCTTGCCGCCCTGGCTCGAAAAATATTCCAGCACGCCTGTGTTCGAGCAGAGGATGCAATTGAACGCCTCCTCCACGCACTTTCGCGCGGCATCGGCGCCAGCTGAGTTGGGTGCGCGCGGCAAATGCACGTCGGCCGGGGGCCCGTGCCTCCTGCGAAGAATTCCAGACATTGAATTCACTGCGTATATGATATCCCGACTCACGTCCGCGGCCTCCTTACGGTGCTCAGGCGTCGGTGCTCGCGGGCGAACGACCACCATCTTCCCCGAGATCTCTGCGCCAGTGAAAAAAAGTAATGTCGCAGCCAGAGCCTGAGCTACGTTGATCGGCATGTCGCGGAAGTGCAAGGGGAACGTGTTGGGCGGGTCCGCCGATGCCCGGTTGCCCTTTTTGTTATCCCCCAGGAACTGGTACATGAGCATCCTCGGGTCGCCACCACCAGGGCGCTCCAACGCCAATGCCAAAGCAGCGCGAGCCTCCCAGCTCTCTCGCAGCACAGCGCCGCCCAGGCGCAGCCTCTTCCTGGGCATGAGCGTCGCCCGCAAGGGAAACTCTGCCGCGAAAGCGTCGGGGAAGAGCTGGACCGCATGCAACGCAATCACCCGCCCTGCGGCCATCGCGCGCTCCACTGTCGCACTGTGAGGAGCCGCTTCGTCGTCCCGCGCTCGAGTGGCGTCCAAGTACATGGCCGTAATCGCAGCTCGGCCGTTCTGAACCACGACCCCCAAGTGCTTGAGTAGTTGGCTTCGAACTGCGTGCAGCGCGGTCGGGTCCGACGCGAGACCGTGCATGTCGGGCTGGCTCACCCACGAGGAAGTCTGGAGAGGCATCGCCTGCGAAGTTTGCTCACGAGCGGCCGTCGGCAGGGCTCCTCTGTCCATCATCCACTCGCAGGCGTCTCCGACCGCCTGCGCAATGGATATGGGTTGCGCCGTCAGCGGGCGCACCTGCGCGCGTGCCGCCCGATTGCGGAGGTTCGCGACCACGCGCGGGATGGGGGACCGGAAGGTCGTGACGGCGCGGAACATCTGACTTGCCCCCGCAGCGCCGCCGGGCGACGTGAACCACTCCGGCCGCGCAGGCTTCTCCGCGCCGGGCCCGCGGCAGTCGATCTTTTCGATGTCCAGTCGCCGCCTGCATCCGAGGTGTAAGCCTGATGCCTCCGCCAGTGCGGGGCCGCGTCGCGGTCGTCGAAGCACTCCTCGCACTCGTGCGACGAAGCGAAAAGAATGCACCTGGAGAAGGCCACGTGTCGGTTGGGCTCCTTCGCGTGGCCCTGCAGGTCATGCGCGGAGAGGTCCCTGGGAAACAGCGTGGTCTGCGCGAGGAGGCCGTCGGAGCCCATGGCAGCCTCGGGCGTCATCGCGCGCCAGAGCTTGGGGGCATCAGCCACGAAGTCCGGTAGACCGAACGCCGCCCGCACTTCCTCGCCCTCCAGAGCACCTCGCAGCAACGTGGCGAAATTGACGCCCACGTCGTTCGCAAGGATCATGGTCAAAACCGCCTTCGTGGTCGACTCCAGCGACATGCGCGGCCCGCCAACGCGCTTGCTCACCTCGCCTGACAGTGGTCCCAAAGCATTCGACAACGGGCGCAGCTTCGACAGACCCCCTTCCCCCCGCTCTCGGCGACGCAGATTTTCTCCCCCGAGCGGCGCGAACGCAGCTCCAGGGGAAAAATGCGCGGTGGAGTTCTATGCGTCGTTGTAGGATGGGAGAACGGGATGGAGGGGAGGGGTCTGAGCGCGCGAAAGCTTCGGCATCCCCTCAACCTCTCGCCAGCACGCGCAGGAAGAACAAGCCCTCGAACAGCATCTGGGCGAAAATGACGTCGGAAGCTCCGGCGCGCAACGTCGACGTTCGTGACCTCGTTGCCCCCGCGGCAGACGAGCCCGGAGCTGCGCGATCAACCTGGCCCACCTCCTCTGCGTCGTCGGCGAGTACGCCGCGGGATAGCGATGGAATCCATCGCGCGCCCCTGTAGAACACGAAGCGCATCGCAGTGTACGGGGCAATCGACAAGTCCACGGACGAGTCCCCGCTCTCTCGGGCGCATTCGATCGCGCACTTGATTTCCCGGCCAGGCCGACCGTAGACAGCTGAGATTGCCCTGAGGAGTTTGGCAGGCGCAGGGCCGAACCGATGTGCGACTGGCAAGGACAAGACGCTGTCTGCGGGAACATGGTCCCAAGCACGCACGCGGGACTTCCCGTGGCAGGCCATCTGCCACTCGTAGTAATTACCTGCTCTGTCGGGCCTCGGCTCCCGCAGGAACTCCGTCGCAGGTCGGTGGCGGATCTCCTGGGCGGAGTCCAAGTACACGACCGCGCTCGGCGCTGACTGCAACGCGGCGTACACTTCGCCGAAATTAGCCTGGTGCACCTCGTCGATGATGACGAATGCAATCTCGAACCGCTTGAAGATCCTGGACAACCAGCTGCGGCCGCTCTGGACGTGGTTGAAAGCGTCGATGGTCATGGCGAAGACGCGCACGTCGTGGAACAGCTTCTCCGCGGCTTCCTCCTGGAGGGCGTCGCACTCGAAGCACAGGTGCCGAATCAGCTCCGTCTTCTCCAACCACTCTCTCCGCTCGAGCGTGCCCTCGTCCGGATTGCAGCGAACGGCGGCCAGGTCGTTGCGCAGTTCCTCGATGCGCATCTGCAGGTCTGTGAATCGCCCGCTCACTGCCGATAGCAGTTGCGAATCCAGATAACCGTCGTCGTCTGACGGAGCTTCGTCCGCAGGTCGGCCGACGCCGGCGGCGGCCAGCGGGTCGTCTAGCGCGGATCGGATGTTGGACAGCAGCTCGTCGCGCATGGCACGCTGCTGGGCGAGGGCCACGCACTTGGCATTGCCAGAGCAATGGCTCGCCGCGTTAGCAATGATGCCTGCCGCCGTCGCTGATTTGCCAGTGCCAGGGTAGGCTTCGCACAGAGCAGCGCCGTCTTCCCGGTCAAGTGCGCGGCGGATGAACTGCATCTGGGCGTTCGTGAACTTTTTGCCGATGTCCGTGGACTGCTTCAAGATCTCCTCGGAACTCATCTGCCGGAAGACACTGGGATTGCGCTGGCCGCCAGCGGATGCCACGCCGTGCTCCGGCAGCAGCGACCGGCAGCACGGCGACGGATCAGTGCGGAGGCTGCGCTTCAAGGCCGCGATAGCATTTGCCTCGGCGCCAACATATTCACCGATGCAAACGAATACCCGACCGCGGACTGACGTCCCGCGCTGCAGTCGCAGGAGCGGCTCCTCGTCAGTGCCCGCGGTCGCAAGGCACAGGTGGAGCTCACCGCGCTCCACGGCCTCGACGAAGAGAGACCCTTTCTCACCGTTCGCGAGCGCGGGGAATACATCTGCGCCTGCCCCCGTCTGCTTCTCCGCCGCAGCGGCCGCGACCGCCCGCGTCTGCTCTTCCGCCGCGACGAGCGCCACGTGATCGCGAACGTGGTCCGGGTCCACAACGGGGTGGTCCAGGATCAACGTGTCCCAGACGTCGAGGCTGCAGTCAACGTCGTTCGCGCAGGCTGGCACGAGGACGTTGCCGGTGCCAGAATAGGTAATTTCGCCAGCCAGAAACGCGTGGATGCAATTGTTCTTCAGCTGATGTACGACGTAAGGGGCCCACATGCTCTCCGGGGCGACGTCGCCAAAGTGTTTCTGCGCATTGCTGCGGAAAGATAGCACTCCGCAGCTGCATTGCTTGCCGAGCATTCGGCCCGGCCCGACGCCTGGGCCGAAGCGGCAAGGATCCCGAGACACCACAAACTCCTCCAAGTCCGACCACCCCAGCTGCACGGGGGCGCCGTAGGCCGCTCGCTGGAGGACGCGCCCGAGACCAGTCCAACGATCCAGCTCCTTGTTCAGCGCATCCTTGTTGTTTTTGATCCGAGGTTTCCAATCGAGGAGCTGCTCCTCCATGGAGTCCAGAATGCTTCCCAGCGCAAGTCGGATGCCCATGCTCGCTGGGCCGCGGAGCAAAGCAAACAGGCTCGATCGCTGATCAGAGGGAAAGTCTTGCAGAGCGGCCCTGGCGTCGGCGGTGCGGTCCGCGTCGACCGCGCAAGCGCAGGAGACGCAGAAACTCCTCGCACTCTTCAGGGCGCCACTGCGGCCGCGGATAACGCGGGGGCGACCGTCGGCCCGCGGGCGGATGGTCTCGCGATTGCTGGCTGCCACTGTCAAGGAGAGAACCTGGGAGACCCTATCGCCGATCTTGAAGCCTGCCTCCAAGGGCACGCCGAACTCCCAGGCGTCTGTGAAAGAAGCGTTGCCGCGCAATTCGGACCCCCAATCTTCAATCTTGACACCGATGTCGGGTAGATCCACTGCGCCGCGTCGCAGGCGTGGCCGATCCGGCATGACTACGTTGTAGAAGATGACGATCTGAGGCGACATGGCGGAGACCAGGCCGGCAATGCCGAGCCACGAACAGAAACGGGATAATGCAAAAGCAGGCCGGCAATGCCGAGCCACGTAAGGGGTATATTGATAGGCCGGAAATGCCGAGCCGCGCAAGAAGTAGAATGACAGGCCGGCAAAGCCGAGCCACGCCAAAGAGACAATATCTCGAGGGAGATACAGCTGCAATTCGGACCGCGCCGATAACAGAGGCGATAGGGACGATTAGCTGCTAGGACGTGCGCTATAATCACCGATATTAAAGAATACGATCATCGGCTCGGGTTATGATGTCGCGAATGTGCTATATGACTAACGCGCTATCTGCAGCGCCACTGTGAGTTAATTAAGGTTTCGTGGGGTTCTCCCGTAGAGCATCAAGAGAGCCGCGATAAGTCTCGACGCGCAATGCTGCGGCGTCGAGCTCAATCCCAAGAGGGCATCATGAGGGTCCGAGCTATTTGGGGCGGAACGCGGCAGCGCTTTCAAACAATAGCTTTGGCTATCTAGAGCTTTTTCGAACTCTTCCTTAGAGCTCTCTCGGGGCTCTCGTGGAGCAATTTTGAGGCCTCTTGCGGCTTGCGAAAAATGTTGTTGATACCCCTGCAGCCCCTCTGGTGGCTCTCTCGGTCTTTGGGAGGCTTCCAGGCGAACCCCCAGAGGGCCTTCGCAAGCCTAAAAGGCCACAAGAGAACCCCAAGATGACTTCAAGAGAGCTCCGAAAGCCAGGGTATGGTGATCATGTGGAGGACGAGGATGAAGGTGACGATGACTAGGGCGAACAGGACGAGGAGGAGGACGACGACGACGGCGACGACGACGACGAAGAGGAATGCTGTCACCTGTGACACCTTTCGTTTTCACTTTTGGAAACAGAGTGATCACATAGACCTCATCTGGTAAGTTGTTGGGCTGTTCAGTGTTCCTGAGGGGCCGTCTTGGGCTCATTTGGGCTTTCTTGAGCTTCCTGGTCTTGCTGGAGCCTTCTCTGGGCTGTCCAGTGGCTCCCAAGAGCTCCATAAGGGCATTCACAAATTAATTGGGGGGCTTTGACAGGGCCCCGCGCACACCTATCGCAAACGCTGCTTTGCGATAGGTGTGCCCGGGGGGCATCCCGTGGCATTCCAGAGCTCCACTGGAGCCCTGCTAGAGCCTCCTTGGGGCTCTCCGGCGGCTGTATTGTGCCCCAGACGGGTTTTTTAAACCCAACTGGAGGGGTTGACGGGCCTCCGCGCGCACCTATCGCAAACGCTGCTTTGCGATAGGTTTGCCCGGTGAGCATCCAGTGGCCGTCTGGCGACCGCCAAGGGGCCTCTGGGTACAACATAATTCGCCAGTTACGTTGTACCCAACACGCCCTCTGGCCGACGCCAGGGGGCCGCTGGGTGCAACATAAACCGCCAGTTATGTTGTACCCAGCACGCCCTCTTTGGCGGACGCCAGGGGGCCTCTGGGTAGAACATACAGCGCAGATTAAGTCGCACTCTGAAGTCTGGCGAACGCCCTTGCCTCCTCTGGGGAGGCTTCCGTCGAGCGCTCAGAGCAGCTGAATTAATTTAATTAGTTTAATTAATTTGATTAATCTACGTAGATTAATTAAATTAATTAAATTAATTCTGCTGCTCTCAGCGCTCGCCTGAGGCCTCCCCAGAGGAGGGAAATTAATTCAATTAATTAAAGTAATTAAATTAATTAAACAAATTCAACTAATTCAATTAATTCAATTAATTTAATTAATTTAATTAATTAAATTAATTTACTGGGTTCCCCTGCAGGCTCCGGCGAGCGCTCAGAGCAGCCGAATTAATTTAATTAGTTTAATTAATTTAATTAATCTACGTAGATTAATTAAATTAATTAAATTAATTCTGCTGCACTCAGCGCTCGCCTGAGGCCTCCCCAGAGGAGCCCAGGAAATTAATTAAATTAATTAAATTAATTAAATTAATTAAATTATTAAATTAATTCAACTAATTCAATTCATTTAATTAATTTAATTAATTTAATTAATTTACTGGGTTCTCCTGCAGGCTCCGCCGAGCGCTCAGAACAGCCGAATTAATTTAATTAGCTTAATTAATTTAATTAATCTACGTAGATTAATTAAATTAATTAAATTAATTCTGCTGCTCTCAGCGCTCGCCTGAGGCATCCCCAGAGGAGCCCAGGAAATTAATTAAATTAATTAAATTAATTAAATTAATTAAATTATTAAATTAATTCAACTAATTCAATTAATTTAATTAATTTAATTAACTAAATAAATTTAATTAATTTCCTGGGTTCCCCTGCAGGCTCCGGCGAGCGCTCGGAGCAGCAGAAGTAATTTAGTTAATTTAATTAATATACGTGTATGAATTAAATTAATTAAATTAATTCTGCTGCTCTCAGCTCTCGCCTGAGGCTCCCCAGGAGGAGCCCAGAAAATTAATTAAATTAATTAAATTAATGAACTTAATTAAATTAATTCAATTAATTCAATTAATTTAATTAATATTAATTGAATCAACATAAATAATTTTAAAAAAAAAATCAACATATTGTACTGGAAAGATCTCCAATCATGTATAGATAGATATGTATGCACAGAGGGCGAGGGAGAAATGGAACGAGAGAGAACGAGAGACGGAGATGGAGAGAAAGAGAGAGAGAGAGAGAGAAACATATACATGTGTATGTATGTATATGTATATGTATATATATATTGTATTGCGCAGCTGTGCTCTAGAGCTCGGACATCATTATTCTCGTCGTGGTTCGTGGTTCGTGGTGGTTCGTCCCCCTCGGCCCCTCTCCTGAGCCTGAGCCCCAGCTCCCCTGGGCCACCCACCCTTCGGAGGCTTGCTCCGTCCAGGCTTCCCAAGGCAGCCCCCCTGGGCCGCGGACATCCTTATTTTCGTCGTGGTTCGTGGCTCGTCGTGGTTCGTCCCCCTCGGCCCCTCCCCTGAGCCTGAGCCCCAGGTCCCCTGGGCCACCCCCCCTTGGGACCCCCCCTCCGCCCAGGCTTCCCAAGGCAGACCCCCTGGGCCGCAGAACCCTTTATTTTCGTCGTGGCTCGTGGTGGTGCATCCCCCTCGGCCGCCCCCCCTGAGCCTGAGCCCCAGCTCCCCTGGGCCCCCCCCCTTGGGACCCCCCTCCGTCCAGGCTTCCCAGGGCAGCCCCCCGGGTCGCGGAACCTTTTATTTTCGTCGTGGTTCGTGGTGGTTCGTCCCACTCGACCCCCCCCCCCCCCCCTGAGCCTGAGCCCCAGCTCCCCTGGGCCCCCCCCCCCTGGGAGCCTTCCTCCGTCCAGGCTTCCCAGGGCAGCCCCCCTGGGCCGCGGAATCCTTTATTTTGGTAGTGGTTTGTGGTGGTTCGTCCCTCTGGGCCCCCCACCGGCTGGACCCCCTCCTGGAAGAAGGAGGCGCGGCCTCCAGTCCTTCGCAGCTCCTTTGTGCAAGAGCCAGGGCACGCGTGCCACTTGCATTAAAAAACGCAACGAAACAGAGATAGAGAGTGAGAGAGAACAAAAAAAAACGAGAACGAGAGAACACGCAGCCTTCAAATTACGCGAACCCCAACAACATGTTGGGACCATTGCAACCCGCGGTGCACAGAGTGCACGACGGCTGACTTGCACCTTGCATCTCCGCCCTCGGCGGCGTGACGGGCCAGTGGGGGCCCCCCGCTGCCCGATGCCCTACAGGTCCTTCTCGCCGAGGCGCAGCGGCGAGTCGCCGAACAGCCCGTCGCTTCGGAACGAGACTGGGAGCCGCTTCCGTCGCTTGTGCTCGAAGTCGAGGGGGGAGGAGGAGGAGGAGGAGGAGGAGGAGGAGGAGGAGGAGGAGGAGGAGGAGGAGGAGGAGGAGGAGGAGGAAGGAGGAGGAGGAGGAGGAGGAGGAGGAGGAGGAGGAGGAGGAGGAAGAGGAGGAGGAGGAGGCCCTCGCTTCGCCGAGCCCCCCGAGGTGCTGCAGCGGGCCGTCCCTCGGGCACGACCGGCCGCGGGCGGACGACGGCGAGGCCGACGGGGAGCACGGGGCGACCCCGTTCTCGGACTCTCTCTGGGCCTCCGACGGGGCCCACGCGCTCGGAGCCCACCTCGGGGAGGCACGACGGGGGAGCGCGTCCGAGCCATCGATACCCATCGGTCGGAAGAAGTAGGTAGAAAAATGAAGTAGGAAGGCGTTGGAAATACATTGGGTTTCCGCCCGCCTCCTGAAGAGAAAGGAAGAAGGAAACCCACTCGACTCTTGAAGTAGGAATGCGCTGAAAGTAGATTGGAATCTGGGAATCCAAAAATACTTACTTTCAACGACCGATGGGTAGGGGTGCGTCCACATCGCCCCCTGGGAGTGCATCCCCGAATTCCCGTTTTTTTCTCTTCCGAGCGGCCAGCATTTTGGATGGGAAACGCGGGGGATCACCCCAAAGGAGCGACCCCCACCCCATCCGGCTCCCCTCCCCGAATCTCCACCCCATCTCCTCTCTTGCTCCTCCGGCCCCCGGAAGCTTCCCCCTTCTCCAATTTGGACCATACCCCGCCCGAAGCCCCCCCCCTCCGGTCCTGAGCTCCGCAGATGCCAAGTCCTGCAGAATCCGGGAAACATCGGAACACGTTCTTCAGAATTCCTCAACGCCCCAAATTCTCATACTGCCTGGACCCAACGCACCCTTTACAGCCTAACCCTCCGACGTACGACGAGGAGTCCTCGGCGACGACGACGAGAACGGCAATGACAAGGACGACAGCGAAAACCATGACGAGGAATGACGACGACGACGAGGGCGACCAATACTACGACGACGAGGCCGACGAAGACGAAGACGACGAAGTCGACCACGACACAGACGACGAGGAGAACGAACAGCTGGACGACAACGGCGACAACGACGGCGGCGGGACGACGATGACGACAACGAGGACGACCACGACAACGACGAAGACAACGAGAGAACGACGACCACGTGAAGACGCAGGGGGGGGCCATCAGGAGGCAACACCTGGGAGGCGAAACTGGCTATTGGGTTCTAGTCGCCACATGTCAAACCAGGGGGGTGGACATGTATTCTATTACAGCCTACTCGTCACGTGGCAACGCAGAAATAGGGGAACACACAAAAGTATTATACTCTACCCGTCACGTGGCGACGCCTTGGAGGGGCGAAACTAACAAGAGTATTCTGTCTTGGCCACATGCGACAAAGCGGGGGATGGTTCTCCGAAAACGGTGACGAGGACGGCGACGACGACGTCGACAACGACGGCGGCGGCGGCGACGACGATGGCGACGACGACGAGGGCGACAATACTGATAACGAGACTTGGCGCTGTTCGACAAAACGGGAGAAAGGACGGTAGCTTCCGAAGCTCACCCGCCACTTCAGAAACAGGAGCCTGGGCGTACGCTCTGTTTCCAAAAGGGGGGGTAGTTTCGGAACGCCCCCTCCCTTAGTAAGGAGGCGGCACACATAACTTTACATATGCTCTACTTGCCACGTGGCAAACCAGACTGGCGGACACACAATATTCTGCTTCACTGCTCACATGGCAACGCCAGGGGGCGAACACACACACACACACAATTGTGTTCTACTCGGCGGGTTGCAACGCAGGGGGGCGCACACACGTTTGTCTACTCTACTCGTCACGTAGCCTCGCAAGGGGAATATAATAGATGCCATCCTACTCTAGTCGTCACGCTCGGGAACACATAATGTTCTGCTCCGCATTTCACATGGCAATGCCGGGGGGGGGGGCGAAGCATGCATGTCTGTCATACTCGCGACGTAACAAAGCAGGTGCTGTAGGTGGGTGGAAACAAATAACATTCTGCTCTACCCATCACATGGCAACGCATGAGGGGCGAACCAGAACCATTCTAGCCACTCGCCACGTGGCAATGCACGGAGTGCTGCAACAATGCGATTCTAGGACTCTCGGATGCACTGCGAGATCCACTGCGCACACTTCACAAGCGCCCCGGGTCTGAGTGTCGCTACTGCGCGCTGCGCACTCGTCTGGTCACGTGGCGACGACGAGAGAGTGAAGAAAGTCATGCTCTGTTCTGTGTTGCGATCGTACGGAGGGAAAACATAAGATTCCACTGTACTCGCGACCTGGCAACACAACCCACGGAAAGCATCATACTCGACTTCCCTCGAAGCTGGACGCATCACACAACAGAGGGTCGGGAGTCCGCCGACCCCTCGGCGCGTGCGGGAGGCTTTGCCCTCGTCGTCGTCGTCGTTGCCACTCCTAAGGACACATGGCATGTAGCACCACGGAAAAGATGTGTCGTAGCCAAATCGATTCCCTCCCATCTTTCCCCTCTCTTCCCTCCCTAGCGTGGGGGTGGGGAGTTGGGGGTGGATGGGAAGGGGGGATCCAGTGTCAGAATACCGCCCTCCCCCAGGGCCCCGGCGGGTCCTGGGGGTGTCAAGGGGGGGTCGCCAGCGGAGGTCCTGGGGAAGGTCCCGCCTTCAGGGTCGGCGGCACTGGCCGTCAAGTCTTCGCAATTGTCACATCCAGCTTCGCTCTTCACACGGCCGCGTAAGGGAGAAATAGGAACAACACTCACAGCAACGACAGAGAGGAGACGGAGGCGGCACTCGGTCCGACTGTACTCGTCGCGTGGCCACGCAGCGAGGACGGTGACAATACTATTCCACAACGCAACCCGAGTCGGGAAAGCATGATAGCAGAACGCATGCGAGCACAATCTAATACATGCAACTGGCGAACAGGATACAACAACCACTCCCAGGGCTCAGCAACTCAAGCGACCTCGGAAGACACCCCACTGAAGTGTTCGCACAAAGGGGAGGGGGGTACCTTCCGAAGCCCCCTCCCTCTGAAAGGGGAGCCCAGGCTCACCTTCGACGACAAAAGTGAGATTGAGAAGTTTCAGAAGACCCCTCTCCCGTTGGCAAGGGACACCCCTGCCTCAAAAGGAAGGGGGGGGATAGCTGGGGAAGCACCCCCCCTCTTTTGCAGGGAGCGGGTGCAGCTGGAAGCTTGCATTCCCCCTCTTTTCTTCCCAGCCTCAAGTCCGGCCTGCCCCTCTACAGGAGGAATACTCAAAAGGAGTATAAAAACCAATAATCCAGGGACGAGTTGTTGAGGTATGTTTGCGGCCTTCTTGGAATATTTTATAGGGTATTTCGTATGTTTCGCCCAGAATCCGCCTGCATGGGGGACAGGCCCGACCTAATCCCAGCCCCACGCGCGCGCTCCCTCGCACACCATCTGAGAGCCGTCGTGCTCGGGGCCCTCCCGAGGACAACACCTCGGGGCCCCTGTGGGCGCGAGGCCGGCGCGCGGTCCTGGCCCCGCCCTGGAGCCACCAGCGGCCCGTGGCGAGTCACGGCGACCCCCAGAGGCCCCAAGAGGCACCCAAGAGGCCCAAAGGGTTGGAGGTCGCTTGGGGGGCAGCGTTGCTTCCAGGGCCAGATCCCAGTACGCTCAGCCAGCGCGCTTGAACCGCCAATATTTCTTCTTACGACACCCACTCGCGACAAGTTCGGACCTTAGGTTTACTCTTACCAGAGACTGGGCTGCTTAGGTTTGCTCTTACCCTACGAGCATTGCCTCCTCCTCCGTGGCCCCAGAAACACAGATCGCGTTCGCTGCCCCTCAGCGAGCTGAAACCAAAGGGTGCCCCAAGATGCCCCAGAACGGCCCCCGAGAGGCTACAGAACTGCCTCCAAGAGGCCTCAGAGGAGGCCTCCCACGAGATCCCCACGAACATCCAATAGGCTTCGCACCCGTTCGCTAATTTTCGCCACGTCAGATCTCGAGGCTTGTGCGGGCGGGCGGCACAGAAGCGCCGAATTCGGTTGTCGAGTCGCCCGGCGGGCCTGGAGCGCTCTCGGCGAGACGCAACTGCTGGACAACATCCCAGGGCTGGAAAGCCTCCAGGAACCGACGACATTATTGTCAGAAAGCATCGGACTTCGCGGAATAAACTCTGCACGGTCGAGACGTCAGAAAGCGTCGGACTTCGCGGAATGAAATCGGCACGGTCCCGCAGACGCGGAGCTCATGAGGCCGAGGATATTCTTCGGCAGCGGCACGGGCGTGTACTGGGAGGCGAGGGGTCGTCGTCGTCGTCGTCGTCGCCGTCGCCTGCGCCGTCGCCGCCGCCGCTGGTGTCGTCGTCGTCATCGTCGCCGTCGTCGTCGTCGTCGTCGTCGTCGTCGGCGTCGCCGTCGGCGTCGCCGTCGTCGTCGTCGTCGTCGTCGCCGTCGTCGTCGTCGTCGTCGTCGTCGTCGTCGTGGTCGTCGTCGTCGTCGTCGTCGCCGTCGCCGTCGTGGCTGTCGTCGCTCGCGGGGCGCCGCCGTGGCGACGCGCAGGCGCCCTACGTCTGCTGCTCCTCCTCCTCCTTCTCCTCCTCCTCCTCCTCCTGCGCGTGCCGCTGCCCCTCCTGCGTGTCCTCCTCCCTCCAGCCCTTGAGGAGGAGGAGGAGGAGGAGGAGGAGGAGGAGGAGGAGGCGGAGGAGGCGGAGGAGGAGGAGGAGGAGGATTGAATGCCTTCGATGCAGCGAGAGAGGGAAGGCCAGTGGCCAGACCCTCTCGAGGCAAGGGTCACTTGGGAAAAGCTGCCCTCTACGTGGTTACCCCTCGAGCTCGCCGAAGCGCAGGGACGACGATCGCGGGGGCCAGGACGTTCGCCTCCGCGGCCTCCGGGGAAAACAGCAATTCCTGAGAAGCACAGCGAGCTGGGAATCAACCCGTGAAGCCACCGAAATGAGCAGAAACTCTCTCCTCCTCCTCCTCCTCGCGCTCCTCCGTGCTCTCCTCCTGCTACCCGTCACTCGGTACGAGCGTATGGCACGTATGAAAAGACGTCCCTGCTGTACGAAGCGTTAGCCAGCGTGGACCCCAAGCAATAAGTTATTGCACAGTGGATGTGTAAGCGATGTGGTGCAAACTATGCGGTGTAAACTATGTGGTGCACAATATACGTGTCGGGTTCCGGAAACCCTGAATCCCAAAATGTTGTCATCGCTTGAGGGGCGCGATGTTTACTTCCGCCGGCTTCCGCCAACATTCCGCGGGCTTCCGCTGGCCGAGCCGCCGCCTTCTGCCGACCTTCCACCGAGGCAGACAGGGCAACTCATGCCTCACGTGGTGCAAGCCAGAGGCGGCAACGAGGCGGCAACGTGGCGAAACCTCGCCCGATCCATCCAGCCCGCGAGGCGTTAACGAGGCGGCAACGGGCGGCAACATGGCGAAACCTCGCCTGACCCAACCGATTCCTCAGGGAGGGAAGCAGAACATCTAAGTGCAAGCCCTGTCTGGGGAATGCAAGGGCACTCTCTTCGCCGATCCCTTGACTTCCCATGGTGTCCTGGGGGTTCCGCGGGCCCCCAGGGGTAAGAGCTTTCCGGGGGGCACTTGATGACAGGCTGGTTTCTTATGTCGTGCACCTGATGTGCAGCATCCGCCTCCTTCTCCGCCTGCTCCCGCCTCCCACTGCATCCTCGCCTCTTCCCGCTCCTTCTGAACTTCCCCCATGCAGCCTCTCCTGGTTCTCCTCATCCTCCTTCTGGCAGTTCCCTGGAGGTCCACGAAGGACTCTTTGGACCCCAGGGAGCATCAGTGACTCGCTGAGCAAGCTGCGAGAGCGTTGATATTCTGTCCTCGAGTCTCCTCGTCCTCCTGACAGCAGGGGTGGACCTAAACGGTGTTTTGGCGATTTCGTGGGCCGTGTCCGCTTCGATGTCGTCTTGCAGCGAAGGCGAAGTCAAGACAAAACGGGGGAAAACGATAACAAAACGAAAACGAAAAACACTGCTGAGGTCCAGCCATGCCTCAGAGATCGCCTGCGCACCGGCGATCCGCCACGCCAGAAGAAACACGCATAACACGTGCGCGCAGCCCGGCCTTTTCAGCGCCCGCGCCCCCGAAGCTCCCCGCCGCATCTGGGCCCGCCGTGCCCCTCCTCCTCCTCCTCCTCCTCCTCCTCCTCTTCTCCTTCTCTTCCTCCTCCTCTTCCTCCTCCTCCTCCTCTTCCTCCTTCTCCTCCTCTCCTCCTCCTCTCCTCCTCCTCTTCCTCCTTCTCTCCTCCTCCTCCCTCTCCTCCTCCTCCTCCTCCTCCTCTCCTCCTCCTCACCTCTTCCTCTTTGCTGCTCCCCTCCGCCTCCTCCTCCTCCTCCTCCTCCTCCTCCTCCTCCTCCTCCTCCTCCTACTTCTCACCTTTTCCTCTTTTGCTGCTCCTCCTGTCTCTCCTTCTCCTCGCCAGGACGCAGCAATCACAATGATTCTTTGGGCCGAAGTCCCAGAAACTGCATTCCGGCACGATTGAGAACTGTCAGGGCGCAACCGTCTCGTTGATTCGCGGCCTTGCAGTCCCAGGATTGGTGCTCTGGCACGATTGAGGACTCTCGGGCTGTTGTTTCTCCATGGGCACTTCCCGCAGTGCAGATGATTATTGTAGAGACCTGTGAAGAAGGAAACTTGGAGGGAGGGTTTACGATTTGCAACGTCGTTGATGTGCCTTGGGTTTACACTGGTCCTCCTCCTCCTCCTCCTCGCCATCCTCCTCGCTCTCGCCCTCCCCACGCCAGTCCTCCAAGATCTGCACCAGCGTAGATGCGGCCCTCGACAAGCGAGATCCATGCAGCCTCGCGGATATGACGTCGAGCATCTTGCCGACTACCCAGGCGATCGGGCCGCCTTCGGGGGAGGCAGGGTCGGAATGGTTGAGGCAAGGAGGAGGAGGAGGAGTCAGGCTCCTCCTGCTCTTCCTCCTCTCCTCCTCCCACATCCCTGCCTCCTCCACCTCCTCCTCCACCACATCGTTCTCCATCCCTTTTCCCATAAAAGTAACTCCTCACACCCCCAGACGTGTTGGTGTGCCACCTCGCGTGCAGTCATCGGCCTGACCGAGGGAACGATACATAAGCAACGAAGCTCCTTTGTTCCAAATCATAACGAACGAGGACCGATAGATAACGCATGCAAGCCCAGGGAACGACCGAGCCCCGTTTGAAACGCAAGTGTCCCTTACTCAAGACGCTCACCGTAAGACCCCTTCCTTGTCGTCCCTCGTCTCGCAACGGAAGCGATGCCTCGGGCCCAACGCCTCGAGTAGGATCTACGACTGCAGCACTGGTGCAGGGGGGGGGATTACATCCGTGTGGTGTACCCCCCAAGCTGTCATACGCTCCAAAACCCCCCAGGAGTGCGTAACACTTGCCCGCAGATTTGGAGAGCACTCGACGCCAGGGCTCGAGTTAAACAGTGTTTTCCGTTTTCGTGTTGTTTTCGTCATCCCTAGCTCTGTCTTCGTTCCACATTTGCTGCAAAACGAAGTCCAAACGAAAACGGCCCACGAAATTGCCAAAACACCGTTTGGCTCGAGCCCTGCTCGACGCCTGCTCCGCAGGACCCGGCGGCCAGGTCAAGCCCGGGGCAAACCCAGTCTGCAGTGGACCCCCCTTGCTTTATGTCGGGCGTGTCCCCCTACAGGGGGATTTTCGACGACAAATCAAAAAATACACCCAAAATGCCGCAAGAAGGTCAACAAATATTCAATCACCGGACAGCTCGCCCCTTGGCCCCCCGCCAGCCCCACGCCAAGGGGCGAGCATATATACGGGCGCAGCACGGCGCTGGATGCGTAGCCGTCGGCTGGGCCAACCAAGCGAATGACGCATCGCGTGGCGGCTGGATGCCCGCGCCGAGCACAGATATTCTCTGTTCCTCCCTCCTCCTTCTCCTCCTCATCCGCGGGCTTAAAACTGCCATCGAAATATCCTCACCCGCTGGCTTAAAACTACCACCGACATATCCTCACCCGCAGGCTTAAAACTGCCACCGAAATATCCTCGCCCGCTGGATCAATGCTGCCACCGAAATATCCTCACCCGCTGGCTGAAAACTGCCACCGAAATATCCTCACCCGCTGGCTTAAAACTGCCACCGACATTTCCTCACCTGCTGGCTTAAAACTGCCACCGAAATATCTTCACCCGCGGAAATGAAACTGCCACCGAAATATCCTCACCCGCTGGCTGAAAACTGCCACCGAAATATCCTCACCCGCTGGCTGAAAACTGCCACCGAAATATCCTCACCCGCTGGCTTGAAACTGCCACCGAAATATCCTCACCCGCTGAAATAAAACTGCCACCGAAATATCCTCACCTGCTGGCTTGACACTGCCACCGCTCGATAACACTCGATAACGCATCGATAACACCTCATGCTATCAAGGTGTCATCGAGTGGTATCGAGGTGCTCTCGAGCGTTACCGAGCTCGATCACACTCGATAGCACCTCGATAACACCTCGATAACATCTCGAACACATCTCGAAAACATGTTTTCGAGGTATTATCGGGTGTTATCGAGGTGTTATACAGCGGGCGATGGTCACCCGCTGGCTTGAAACTGCCACCGCGATATCCTCACCCGCTGGCTTCAATCTGCCTGCGAAATATCCTCACCCGCTGGCTGAAAACTGCCACTGAAATATCCTCATCCGCTGGCTTAAAACTGCCACCGAAATATCCTCACCCGCTGGCTTAAAACTGCCACCGAAACATCCTCACCCGCTGGCTTAAAACTGCCACCGAAATATCCTCCCACGCGGAAATAAAACTGCCACCGAAATTTCCTCACCTGCTGGTTTAAAACTGTCACCGAAATATCCTCACCCGCGGGCTTAAAACTGCCACCGGAATATCCTCACCCGCGGAAATGAAACTGCCACCGAACTATCCTCACCCGCTGGCTTAAAACTGCCACCGAAATATCCTCACCCGCTGGCTGAAAACTGCCGCCGAAATATCCTCACCCGCTGGCTTAGAACTGCCACCGAAATATCCTTATCCGCGGGAATAAAACTGCGACCCAAATATGCTCATCTGCCGGCTTAAAACTGCCGCCAAAATACCCTCACCCGCGGAAATTCATCTGCCACCGAAATATCCTCACCGGCTGGCTGAAAACTGCCACCGAGATATCCTCACCCGCTGGCTGAAAACTGCCACCGAAATATCCTCACCCGCGGAAATAAAACTGCCACCGAAATATCCTCACCCGCTGAAACACCGAAATTTCCTCAACTGCTGGCTCAAAACTGCCACCGAAATATCCTCACCCGCGGGCTTGAAACTGCCACCGAAATATCCTCACCCGCCGGCTTAAAACTGCCATGGAAATATCCTCACCCGCTGGCGTAAAACTGCCACAGAAACACCCTCACACGCTGGCTTAAAACTGCCACCGAAATATCCTCACCCGCGGAAGTAAAACTGCCATCTAACGGCCTGGTGGTTCAGTTCAGTCTGTCTACCTCGCGAAAATCAAATTACGGGCTGCGCCCGTAAAAAAATTGTCCCCTGACTATTTTTGGAATATTTTTAAACTATTTCTGGGTATTTTTGTTGTTTCGTCGAAGATCTCCCTGTAGGGGGACAGCCCGACTTAACCCTTGCTCGAACGCTCCCTTGCTAGTCCTACCACGAAATGTTCATAGAACCCAGAAATGTTCTAAGAACAAAAACATTGTTCTTAGAACATAAACCCGATGTGTTCAACCAAGACAGACTCCGCCAGAAATGTTCTAAGAACATTTCCTGGAAACCACAAAAGGTTCTCAGAACATTGTTTAGTAGGGCTATAGGCGAGCCAGGACGCTTCGCCACTGCTTGAAAGTCTGGGGCAAACCCAGTCTGCAGTGGACCCCCCCATTGCTCGAACGCCCCCCCCCCCCCGCTGCGCGGCACCGCCCGACGGGCCCGGCGCCCCCGAGGCCCCGGCGCGCGCCCGCCGGGGGCCGGGCGAGGGGCGGCCGCCGCCTTCGTCGCCGCGGCGCGCGAGCGCGGAGCTCACCTGGGCCGCTGGGCGCCGCGGGCCGAGGAGGAGGAGGAGGAGGAGGAGGAGGAGGAGGAGGAGGAGGGAGGAGGAGGAGGAGGAGGAGGAGGAGGAGGAGGAGGAGGAGGAGGAGAGAGGAGGAGGGAGGAGGAGGAGGAGGAGGAGGAGGAGGAGGAGGAGGAGGAGGAGGAGGAAGGCACCTCTGTGGACGACCGGAGCGGGCACGTGCGGTCAGAATGCCGCTGTCAACGCCTCGCGCTCTCCTGTAGGGGCTTTGCGGTGTTCCTGCTCGTTCTAACATGCGTCACGTGTGCGGAGCTACGCCGTCAACGCCTCGCTCTCCCCTCTGGGCTTTGCAATGTTCCTGCTCGTCAACATTCGTCACGTGTGCGGAGCTACACTGTCAATGCCGCGCTCTCCTGTGGGCTTTGCCGTGTCCCTGCTCACACTGCACACCGCCAGAGGCGGCGGAGAGCTTGAGAGATCCACCCACCAAAAGTGAGGCCCAGCAGCACACGAGGCGTTCCAAAAATGTCCCTGGCCTGCGGGGACCGAGGGAGTTGGCATCTCTTCCGCCGCGGAAGGCGGCGCAAGGGCGGCGGAAGGTCGGCAGAAGTAAAACGAGGCCGCCTCCGCCGGCGAAAGCCGGCGGAAGCCCGAGGGCAGGCGGCGGAAGTAAAAGATGTATCCCCAAGGGATGAAAACGTTTTTGAGATCAGGGTTTCAGAAATCGCCCACGTGTTGTCCAAAGCCGACAGCGGCCGCTGTTGGGCAGGCGGCCTTCGGTCTCCAGTGGACGACGTCCGCGGCGCCGCAGACAGCGGGTCCTGTTCAGAATGAGCTGGAACTACTGCTGGGCATCGTGCCCATTCTTCCCGAACCCATTTCGATCGTGCGGAACCTCTCCCCGAAGAAGAAGCTGGTGTTGCTTGAAGTGCCCCTGGCCCGAGGTGCCCCCGGGATTTCCAAGGAGGCCCTCACGGCCTCCAGAGCTCCCCTCACGAGGGGGGTCCAACATGGAGCGAAAAGTTGGGGGCACCTCGGCCCAGGGGCATCCTTAGCCCTAGGTCGGGCATGCCTTCTTACATGCGGATCTTCGATGAAAATGGCATGCAGTCAGAATATATCCCAAAATCATCAAACATATGGGAAAATTCGTTGCCAGACTATTTGTTTACTATTTTTGCATCTTCCTCCTGTAGAGGGACATGCCCGACTTAACCTCAGCAGCCCCCGACTCTTTCCCCGAAGCAAAGCGAGGAGCCACGACCCGGGAAACCTCGGAAACCGGGACAGCTCGGGGCTCTCCGAGAAGCCCCGCGGCTCTGGAGGACGACGCGGCGGGCGCCGCGGCCGTGCCAGCAAGCGCCCCGAGAGCGCTCTGTTGCCAACGCCCTGCAGCGACCTGCAGGCAACCCGCATCTAAGGGATGCGCGCTGAGGATGCAGGGGCTTTGTGAAGGGGCCCCAGGACACACAAATAAATACACACAAATAAAAAGATTCCCCATATTTTCCAATATTTTCTGGGTTTCTGTCTTCCCCCCCCACTTCCCATATTTTCCCATCTTTTCTGGGGAATCGACGATTCATTGTGTCTGTGTGCGTCTTTTCCTCTCCTGACTTTGGGAGGCCACCTCGGAGCCCGCCGGACGTGGATCCCCCAAAAAAGGGGCCGAGGAGGCAAAAGGACGCTGGGGCACCCTTAAGGGAAGGCTGCCCACCCTTGCCATGCAGGCTGGCTGCATGACGATCCCAGGCCCGCCCAGAAAAAAGAAGTGTCGCAGTCCGGCGGTGTGTGTGTGTGCGTCGCCGACAAGCTGGCCATCGCTCGGACGTCCATTCCCTGTGCTTTTTCGGTTTCGTGCGTGGTTTTTTTCGCCAAATGGTCAAGGACGCTCCTCGATGGTCCTCGCCGAAGGAAAAATGCACACGTCCGAGCGATGCCGAGTGCCATGCGGGCTGGCTGTATGACGATCTCCCAGGCCCGCCCGGAACGAAAGAAGTGTCGCAGTCCGGCGCGGTTTGTGTGTGTGTGTGTGCGTCGTCGGCAAGTCGCAGGAGCGCGGGAGCTGCTGGGGCCGGGGCTGCGCCACGGAAGCTGGGAGGGTCCACGGGCGCGGCTGGACGACTCGTCTGTGCCGAGGCCGAGGGGGGCACGGCGGAGGCCCGACGGGGGAGGCCGAGGGAGGCAAGGGGGCGCCGAGGGGGGCAAGGGGCGGCCGAGGGGGCCAAGGGGGGGGGGCAACCCCGAGGGGGCCGCCGCCCCGAGAACGCCGACGCCTCATGACGCCCCAACTCTCCCCAGAGCCCGCCGAACCGGTCAGGGTCGCCCAAGCACGCCTCGAGCCCGAATCCTCGAGCCTCGATCCACAGGGGGGGCCGGCGCCCCCCTCTGTTGACGGACGGGGTAAACTGAGAGGGGGGTCCTGCCCGGGGGGGGGGGAACCATCGAGCTGGGATCGGCGACGCATCGCCGATGCATCGGCGACAGGCCCCTGATAGCGAATCCCCTCGGTCCTGGGCGGAGTGGGCCATCTGGCCCCCGTCGGCGATGAATGGGCGAGTGGTGGTTGATGCCTCCCCCCCCGCAAGCCTATCCCCCCCCAAACGTTGCCTCTGACCTCAGTGGTGTCCTCCTCCTCCTCCTCCTCCTCCTCTTCCTCCTCCTCCTCCTCCTCCTCCTCCTCCTCCTCCTCCTCCTCCTCCTCCTCCTCCTCCTCCTCCTCCCCCGTGGCAGTGCCTGAGCAAAGGGGGTCTGCGCCGAGGGCGGAGGGAGCCGTCGGCATGGGCGGAGCAGGGGTCGCGCGCGGGTCGCCGCGCGCGGTGGCCGAAGGGGAGCGCAGAAGGGAATCTCCTCCTCCTCGACCCTCCACAGTCGGGGCGTTGCCCTCAGGAACCCTAAACAAGGAACGGGCCCCTTTCTACCCTAAGTTGAACTTCGATTTCCCATGGAAAAGCTCAGGAAAACAGAAGGCAATCTGCAGAACAATCAAGGAACACCGAGCCCCTCCCCAACGAAAAGGGTTCCTTCTGCAGGGCCGCGGCTGTAGGCCAGCTGGCTATTTTGACTCGAGGAGCAGGCGCTGATTGACCCCCCCCCGCGCCCCGCCCAGGGACAGGTTGCAGCAAGCTCTGTAGGCAATAGGCCGTTCGCCGACGGACGCCGCAGGGCCCGTCGCTGGAGCCCCCCCCCAGTCGTGGACTGCCGAGGTTGTGCTATGAGGTGGTAGCCTCAAATTGTCTCTTCGGATCACCTCTTTTTGGTGTCAGCGGAGCCTTACCTTACATTACCTCCTCCTCCTCCTCATCCCACCCCCCCTCCTCCTCCTCCTCCTCCTCCTCCTCCTCCTCCTCCTCCTCCTCCTCCTCCTCCTCCTCCTCCTCCTCTTCCTCCTCTGATCGAGGTTCGAAGGTCGAAGCGTTTCCTCGTCGCCACGACTGAATTCGTGTTGCAGATCCGGCCCACACGCACCCTAGGAGAGCAGGATCGGTGAGGTGGATAGTTGACGTCCCCTGAGAGGACGCGGAGGCAGAGGAACAGGAAGAGAAGGAGACGGATCGAGGCAAGAGGATAAAGATAATGAGGACCAGAGTAAACCCAGAGTGCATCAGCAATGCTGCAGCACACCCGCCCGCCCAAAGCTCCTTCATCACAAGGCACTGCAGACAAGCCTTTCCATTGCGGGATGTCTCAACCCCTCGAAAGGCGAAGACACATGGTCCTGCTATCCAATGGAGAAGCCCGTCCTTCTTCGGAGCAATTCGCCACTTCTGGCTGAAGCGCCACGGACAAAGATCAGAAAGGCCAAACACATGTCCAGCGAAAGCCCGCTCGTGATTTTTCCGACGGTGGTAGGACCCCACATAACAATCCTTCAAACTAATCTGGCAGTAATCCTCATCTTCGTCGTTGTGACTAAGGAGGCTATCTTCCTGTCTGGTATCTGATGGTCCTTGCCGACGTCTACGAGCTTGAATAAGGATGGCCGTCTCGGGTTACAAAGGAAGCTCGAAAAGGGACGGGTCTGCCGCTCGAGCCTCTCTCAAGATTCAGACTTCCAGGTGTCAGCGAACCTGTGCTTCTACAGGGGATCCCGATGGCCGCCTCGGATTAATCTTAGGTCGGGCGTGTCCCCCTACAGGCGGATCCCAAAATAGCAAATTAGTCCAGACATATTCCAAAACAGCAAAACACAATAGAAAAGTCGTCTCCAGAGCATTTGTGGACTATTTCTAACGATTCCTCCTGCAGAGGGACTTGCCCGACTCAAGACTAATCACGTGCAGCGCGGGGCCCGCGGGGAGGAGCTCCCGCTCGAGCCTTCCTCGCGAGCCACGTGCAGGCGAGCGCCCGAGGCAGGTTCTCCACCTGCTCGGGAACGAGGCTCCGGCTCGAGCCTTCCCTCCGGTTGCGGGGCCCAGCCGCCCACTGCATCCCGACCGCTGTGCCCCCCGCTCGCCCGCCTCGCATTGCCGACATGGAGTCGGGGCCCCATGAGGAGGGGCTCACGCTCGAGACCTCCTCGCGATTCGCTCCCAAGCGAAGATTTCGCTTGAGACATCCTCCACCGAAATGCTCAGAAACGAGGTTCCCGCTCGCGTCTTTCTCCGGATTGAGGCTGACGGGTGTCACCAACTTTGCTTTGTATGATAGTTCGATGACCGCCTCGGATTGCCAGCATGAGGTGGGTGACCCATAGGAAAGGGCTCCCGTTCGAGGCCTCCCCGCGATTCGTTCACAGACGAGAGCACGCCCGAAACATTTTCAGGAACGAAGTTCCCGCTCGAAGCTGCCTCGGGATTCGGGCTCCCGGGTGTCCCCAAGCCTGTTCTCTTTGAGATCGGATTCCGATGGCCGCCTCGGATTGCCAACATGAAGCGGGGCCCCATGTGGAAGTGCTGCCTCTGGAAAGCTCCTCGCGATTCACCCACGGACGACTGCGCGCCCAAGCATTGTCGCCCAATGCACTCTCAGACAAGGCTCCCGCTCGAGACTTCCTCGGGATTCAAGCCCCC